ATTTTTTTTGGATGGTTGTAGTTTTGTTGATAATTAGTTCGGTTAGTTGTCTTTTAAATTGTTGATAATCGAGACCGGTTAATTTTTCTTCGGCTTCGGTTATTTGACAACCAGTTAGTAAAGCATAAATGGTTAGTAAATTGGAGATACCGGGTTTTTTTTGTGGGTCGAAATAGATTTTATTTTCGGAATCAGTAACCGCTTTCGCTATTTTTTTTTTAATCGTTTGCGGCTCGTCCCGCAAAGCAAGGTAATCGTTTTCGCTTTTGGACATTTTCCGGTTGGGGTGATTTAATCCCATTATTTTGGCTCCCAAACTAGGGATAGTGAAGTGTGGAACTTTTAATAGTTTTTTTCCATAAAAGTTGTTGAATTTTTGGGCGATATTGGTGGTTAATTCGAGGTGCTGCGTTTGGTCCTGCCCAACAATAACCAAATCTACGTCGTAAAGAAAGATATCAGCGGCCATTAAAACTGGATAAGCCAGCAAAGACAAGTTACCAGTTTCTTGGCTTCTCTTTTTTTCTTTATACTGAATCATGTTAGACAATATCCCGACCGTAACATGAGGGGATAACAAAAAAGAAAGTTCTAAATGCTCCTTAATTTGGGATTGAATGAATATTTTGCAATTTTCCTCTTTTAGTCCGCAGGCATATAAAAGGGCAGCAATTTCTTGGCTATTTTTCTGGTAGTCAATTCCCTTTTGGGGTAAGGTGAGAGCGTGTAAGTCTGCAATCATAATAATTACTTCGTAGCGGTCTTGAATTTCTAAAATGTGATGAATTAGCCCGAAATAATTACCCAAGGTTAAGGTGCCGGTGGCTTGAATTCCAGTAAAAAAACGAGGTTTAAGCATTACTTATCATATTTTTTAATCAACTTAGAGAAAAAAGTCCATTTTTTTAGACCCGAAATTTGCCGGAGTAGTTTTGTGAGAAAATACTTTTCAAGCAAATTTTCTTGATTTGCATTTGCAAGTGGTCGCTAACTAAAAGGAGTATTTCTAAGTCAAAAAAACTCTAATAAGAAAAGAATT